CACATAAAGAAAACCCAAAAAAAAAAAAAAAAAAAAAGGAATAGAGAGTTTAGAGGTTTGTGTGGAATTCATGTTTTTTTTTTTTCCTTTTTTATTTTACTTCTTCCATGAACAAGAGAGGCAGAGAGAGACAGCATCCCCAATAGTCATTTTCAATGTCTTTTAGAATTATTTATCATTACCGTTTTTTGAAAATAAGTTTCCTGAAGGAAACATGCACTCACCAGAGAGAGACAAGAGAAAAGAAGAGAGAGGGAAAGGGAGAAAGCAAGCCACCAGGTCTGGGACTGGAACCGTGGTCAGCCTTGTGGGAGTCCAGCAATGTAACCACTGCGTTATCTGCTGGTCCCTATGGTCCCGCTAAATCAGGAGGTTGAAACAACAGGATCCTGTCACAGTGAGATCCTGTTTTAAACAAAAGTGGAGCTAGCTGGTGGCATGGTGGCTAAGGCAGCTGGATCCCCACATGGCCAACTGTACAGTTCAAGTCCTGGACCCAGTGACTTAAAAACATGTTGGGTACATGTGTGCATGCAAGTGCCTGCCCAAGGTCCTGAGAGGAAACTGGAGAATGGATTACAGTGTGGTCATCCCTCTTGGGCAGTGATTTCTCATTTTCTTTCTCATTGCCTCCCTCTGGCAAGTGCCCACACCCTATGGTAAAAACCCAAATAAATATACTGATTTTCAGATACCATGTTCAGCCTAATGGTAGATGATCTCTCTTCAAGAGCACCAATTTCTTTTTTTTTTTTTTTAAGATTTATTATTATTATTATCAATATTATTTTTCACATGAGTTTTGCCAGAGAAAGACAGAGAGAGAGAGATGTGAGAGGTGTTTGCTATAGGGCGCGTGCGCTCACCAGACAGACAGAGAGAGACATAGAGACAGAAAGCGAGAAATCACCCCCCAGGGAGGATGGTCACGCTGCAATTCCTTCTCCTCCATTCTCCTCTCGGGATATTGGGCACGCATACACACGCACCTGGTGTGAGTTTTTTTTTTATATTTTTTAATTATTTTACTGAACTTTATTTATTTACTTATTTTAATTTGATCAGAGAGGGACAGAGCATGAGAGAGATAGAGAGAGAGAGAGAGAGAGAG